GTAAAAGAAATGACATAAATATTTAATGAATTGCAAAATTTTATAGAGTAAACTGAAAAATAAATAATTGTAAACCAATAATGAAGCAAATATACGTAGTAAAAAAAAATTAAATATTGAAATGTGAACAAAAATATAGAAGTTTTACATATTATTACTGTTCAAACTAGATAAGTGAATAATGATTTATGTGTGACTTAACTAACTGCGTAGAATATGCACTTCAACTATATCCTGAAATAAATTATAGGAATATGATATGTAAACGTTTAGCATTTAATAGACTGACAAAACTATGACCTCGACATTAATATGGGATAGGGGGATCTGTCCAGTCGACCTACATAGGTACCTAATTTAGGTACCTATTTCGCTAGATTGCATTTTTGTAATTTATATTCATAATATGTAAACATAAATTTTATATTTATAACTTTAAAAAGACAAATGTGTTATTTTTTAATTATTTTGTCGTCGGAAGTTGTAGTGTAAAGCCTTCATGAGGATACGAGTATAAACGTATTAAGTTTAGTATTAAGGGTAGTCTTATTAAAATTCTTAATAAATCAACACGTTTATCTTTTATTGACACCTTCCAACATAACATCAACACACAGAACACCTCCATGTAATGCCATAATAACATGGGCCCGAATCATAGAATACTATAATACATACATAATAGAACAGGGGAGTAGGTGGAGCCCGTGTAGCCACTAAAATGTCACTATCACGTCAATTCACACGTGTAAATGTCAACATGAGATGTGTTTTGACGTTACAATCGTTTCCAAATTTCCGATTCCAATGATTTAGGAAATGCCAAATTGCACGTTATTTACAAATAAATATGTATTGAAATCTGTCTGTCAACACAGCGAATCGGGTTTGTAGTAGTGATAATACGACGTAATTTCTTGTATGTGTGATCCCGGCGACACCGAACCTCGTACAAAATAAGGTTGACAGCCATTCTGTCGTGTTTTATAGTATTCCATCTCCCGAACCACCCGCATTTAACGACTTTCTGCATATCTTACATAGAGCATATCTTAGATAGAGTGACGAAGTGTCACTCTATCTAGTAGCGTCCGCTCTATATTTCGCATACAGTTACTAGGCTGCCACTCGAGAACTTTCTTCCCCATCCCTCCTTGGTTTTTCAAGTTACTTGGCTGGTCCCTTGCCATTTCATCTTACGCATCCAAACAATCTTGTTTTCAAGTTTTGAGGCCGAGCGGAGTTGAATCTCTCGATTGACCTCTTGATCGAAGTTAGACTATTAATCCTATGTAAACATATTCGACAAAAACTTCGACCGTAGTGCTCCCGAAAACTGACGATTTCAACCAACAACTTTATTTATTAGGGAGATGAGGGGTTTATAGGCATGTAAGTAAACACCTGAGCTTAATAAAAGACAATAATTTTGATATTATCGACAGGGTCTTCAATTTTAATAATATATATAGAATTTATGGATTTGATACTTACTACACAACACAGATATTCAATTGAATTTTAACAATAAATTGACAAAATCAGATCAAGATGTTAACTACAAAGTCACTGAATTCCCTTTCCTCCATTTCTTCATTCATTCTAGAATATATTTTAAAATATTCCGAAACTATTACTACTAGTTTTTTTTTTTCATTAACAGCTCTTGAACTTTTAAATGAAATAAAACAACCTTTGTAAGTGATATTGTATGCAATATGATTTCAACGAAATAGCTATCGCACCTCAACTGTGGGTGTAGAGTATATCCTGGTTGACCAATTTTGGACAAATTCTTCGCATAAATAGGGCTCAATTTTATGAATAACGCGAGTTACGTGGACCCCCAGAGCGGCAATTGTGTGTAGTTTGTCTGCATAGACCAGAGATTTCACGTAGCCCCACAATAAGTAGTCGAGCGGTGTAAAGTCACACGATCGTTGATGTCACCACCACGCAAGATGATGGAGCGCTGCATGTACAACAAAGAAACGCAAGATCGTTGGAGAATATTTTTGCCGTTCGGGACAGTGTGCGAGAAAATCCCAGACAGCCCATTCCGCGTCATGCCCAAGAGCAGTGCCATTCGACGACATCAACTTGGCGCATTTTACGCTGAGACTTGGGTTTCATCTAAACAAAGTTCAACTCACTCAAGAGCTAAAACCAAACGACTACAGACATCGCTATGTATTCGCTGATTGAGATTTAGACCATTTGGCGTCTGAGCCTGTTATAGATAAAAATCATCTTCAGTAAAAAGGCTCATTTCTGGTTGAGTGGCTTTGTTAACAAATAAAAATTACTGGATTTTGTGCAAGGAAAATCCACGGGAGCCTCATCAGGTGCCCGTAAACTCTGAAAAAGTCACTGTCTGGTGAGATTTTTGGTCCAGCGGTGTCTTGGGTCCCTATTTATTACACAAGGAGCAGCGCTCACTGTCAATAGCGACTGATAACAATTTTTTGCGGCCTAGAATGGATGGTGTGGACCTCACAAACACGTGGTTTCAATAGGACGGCGCCACTTGCCATACCGCACGGGAAACATTGAATTTGTTGGATGATAATTTTGTGGGCTTCGCTATATAACGTGGCAGTGACGTTAAATAGCTACTGAGATTAACACTGCTCCTGTCCTTTGTAGACCCATCCCTTTTCAAATAATTACGAGTCTTGTCATTTTTGAAGACATTTGAGAGCTATTTTTTTTTAGATTTTCATTAGGCGTGGAAAGCTGACAGGTGAGAGTTTTCAACATTATAATATTAAAATAAAACTTCAAAGGAATCATCGTTTGAATAAGTAGAGGCACATTATAGAAAAATACAAAATATCTTTTAGTAACGAAATAATATTCAAATTATACAATATCATGTAGCTTCAAAGATTTAAAAATTTTCGACACAGTGAAAGGTCTCTAAGAAATATTACATTGTGATTTTCTCTATGATAAATCTTTATATGACTTTTTTAATAAATTATTTTCTTATATCTAATGATTCAAAAAGTGTTTTATTGCAATTTTTAAATTATTGCCTAATCTACTGGCTATAATAATAGTGTTTATTTAGTTCATTTTCATGCAGCAAAATTCAACCATTTTCTTAAAGAATATCAAAGTCCTATGTTTCTACGTAATTTGTACATAATATAAATAATCTATGAAGGCAGTAAACTGATCAAAATTACAGAAATGAAACTTATACAAATGAGAATCAATGGTTAAGAAAAGTGATCTGTTGTGATGAAGAAAGGTAGTCGAAAGACAGCCTTGGCAAAAGCAGTGTAGAACGACAGAATCAATGGTTAAGAAAAGTGATCTGTTGTGATGTAGAAAGGTAGGCAAAAGAGAGCCTTGGCAATAGCACTGTAGAACGACAGAATCAATGGTTAAGAAAAGTGATCTGTTGTGATGAAGAAAGGTAGTTAAAAGACAGCCTCGGCAATAGCAGTGTAGAACGACAGAATCAATGGTTAAGAAAAGTGATCTGTTGTGATGAAGAAAGGTAGTCAAAAGACAGCCTTGGCAACAGCAGTGTAGAACGACAGAATCAATGGTTAAGAAAAGTGATCTGTTGTGATGTAGAAAGGTAGTCAAAAGACAGCCTTGGCAATAGCACTGTAGAACGACAGAATCAATGGTTAAGAAAAGTGATCTGTTGTGATGAAGAAAGGTAGTCAAAAGACAGCCTTGGCAATAGCAGTGTAGAACTACAGAATCAATGGTTAAGAAAAGTGATCTGTTGTGATGAAGAAAGGTAGTCAAAAGACAGCCTTGGCAATAGCAGTGTAGAACGACAGAATCAATGGTTAAGAAAAGTGATCTGTTGTGATGAAGAAAGGTAGTCAAAAGACAGCCTTGGCAATAGCAGTGTAGAATGACAGAATCAATGGTTAAGAAAAGTGATCTGTTGTGATGAAGAAAGGTAGTCAAAAGACAACCTTGGCAATAGCAGTGTAGAACGACTCCACTAAATAAAGTTTCGATTTAATGAATATGTATGAAATCACAGTTTTTCCTTGAGTGACACAATGGGTCCAGAATTCGACTGCTCTTGCCTACGTCCGCTTTGAAATATACAAGGGTCGCTGGTATTGATAAATAAAGTTTAACCTGGCAAAACTAACATATGCACTACCTTTGTCGTTGTTTTTCTTATTTACGTAAAATATTAATTGCTGTAAAAGTTTATTTGTATAAAATAACAGGAAAAAAATTTAAATATTATTTCAAGTATAAAGAAACCGTTATGAAAAGAAATTTACTATTTTTGCTCTATCACGTTTTAAAACAACACTTAAAATTACAATTTACCATTAGTGTCGCCGGGGATCAAACGGGTTGCTCGCGTATTGTGAAATTTTACCAAGTAGCAAGCGTTTAGTTTTTCCACTGTTTCTGGAGTCGCGCCATCAAAGAGTATCATTTATTTTTGCAATTGACTGTGTATAGTAGACTATCCGTAGAGAAGGGAATTTATGTCGTAAGCCGTAACAAATCAAGGAACAATCCCAAGCAATAAATATGACATATTTCTCGGAATTCAATCTAGTTTGGTTGATCATAATATATAATTGGGTTATTGTATGGAATACCATACCAATTTTTTTAAATGCATTTACAAGTGTAATATTTATATACTGAATTGAGAAGAAATCTATATATTTAAATATGTTTGTAAAGACAGAAGATGAACAAATTATATTCATGCAACATCTCCTTAATATTTTAGAAGTTCGCAGCTGGACAGAGGCTTCTCGCGTTGTAGGTAGGAGTTTTCTTAATCGTTAAGCGTGATATGCGGATTGATGACCGTAATGCCAGAGGTCCCACACTTTGACGCTGTAATGGATCCACAGATAATACACGTAAAACTTTTATATGACACAATAAATATTTTATTTCAATTATTAAAATAAGATTATCATAAAAAACGGTTTTAAATTATAAATAACATAAATATTGTAAAATACTTCTTTTACATTATTGACTTTACATCACATTGAATTCCACGTCGGGCACCAGGTAGCAATGAAGGAATAAACGGCAGGCCTTTCTGGAAGGCAGTACCCGAGACTCTCCAGCAACGTAGGAGTTTTTAAAACCGATTCACGGAAATCGTTAAAGTTTATCACTCCATCTAGATCTACATCCATTCTCTTCATCATTATATCCACCAGCTCCTGTTTACGAAGAAGTTATTGCTTATTAAATGTGAATGAACCTTCCTAGAGTTATACTATGAGTACGGTAGGAATGGGCAGACTCGAACGGTGTTAATACTCAATTTCGCAAATTACCAGCATAAAATAGCAATATAATGATAATGGTTTCATATATAAGAAATAAACCGCAGACCTATTTACAGGTAACGAGAGACAAAGTATCTTCATTTCGACTCCTAATCAGGGATCGATGTAGGTGCTTAGAAACCAAAACATTCACATATGATCAGATTTGCTTTGTACCCATTTGTTACCTTTAATTATGTACAGAAATGATTCAGGTGACCAGACCAGAAGAATAATTTCCATATATCATAATTTTGAACGGGCAGTGTTAGTGTATCTATTATCCTATACGACTGAAACGATAGAAACATCTTTCTGATAACAACTGCAGTTAAACCCGTTCGTTTTAACTGTAGCAAAAACCCAAATCGACCATCTATGTTCTGCAGTAGACTTTAGTAATAAGGATGAATAATGACAATAAGTTATAAAACAGTCCTGAAAAAATATCTTATTCGCTCCTCGTTCTTTATCAAATTCTGTTTCATGGACCTTTTCGTTTACGTGAGTAAATAAAACATTGGAAAAATTGTCAGTAAAAGATGAAACAGATTACGATTTTTTGTAAAACAATATTAGCTCGTTGATTAGAATGTCACAATTTTTGTGACATTCTAATCAACAAACCAGTATTATGAAAACAACTTTGTATATAAAACATCGTGGTTAATATATTTTCGTGAAATCGGCCAACTTACTTTTGAACATTATTTTCAGGGACATGCAAAGATTTTATTTCAAGTTGTACGGTTATGTGAAAAAATTTAATTTAATTACTTAAGCATCAAGCGGGTTGGTTTTACTCATAAAATCGACGTCATTTAAAGAAATGGTTTTTGCGCTTATTAATAAGTGACGGTAGAAAGAGAAAGGTATAGAGATACTTAAATTAGGTATGTGATTGTCAACGATTATGTAAGGCTAATAATAATTACCAGACTGCTTACTTTCAGTGTTTATTTTAAAGTATTTTTTTATTTATTTTGTAATAGCGTGAGGATTTCGAGCATTCATATCGAAGATATAAAACAAAGTGTTAACACAAAAAACAAACTACTCTCTACTAATTTCATTGGCGGATTTCATGTTTGTTGTGATTTGAATTTACTTGAATTTTATTGTACTTGTTTCAAATTATTTATTTTAAATTATTTATTTTAATTTATTTATTAAAATTAATTATTTTAAATTATTTATTTATAATTATTTATATATTAAATATAAAAACCGGTTTTGCCTCACGGTATCATACAAACATATTGCTATATATAAATGTGAAAGAATTTTATAAAAAAATCGTAAAGGTAGAATAAACGCCAGGGATGTTATATCTAAAGTCAGTACTAATATTTTATTATCGGGATGTCATTCAATTTACTTTTTAAAAATGTATAATGTAAAAATATCCAACTCAACGATAACAAATAATATTTGACTATTATATCATTATGTAAATTGAATAAATTGTTTACTACTTATTTACGTTATTTTTGTTACAATGTCAACATTAAATCAAATTTCAGTCAATTGTTGTTAATTTTGATATATAAAAAATAAAAATAAATGGATTAAATAAAATTGTTTGATTAAATATGTAAATCGAGGGGATGAACGTTTTTTTGGTCGTATAGGATTATGTCTTCATAAAAATTATTAATTTCAAGAGCTTCTAAAGCAAAAATTTTAAAGCTACTCAACTACGCTTAAACGATAAGATATCTGTATCTGAGCGCATGTCTTTCAATATCGCTCTCTATGAAATTTAATGAACACAACAGTAAATTTATATTTTATTGTTAAGTATCTGCAGGCACCGACCTATATCGAAAGATGGTGAAAATATTGTCTGCTCGTACAAATATGTCTGCAGGTACAAATTTATCATAGGATTTTACCCGCAGATATGTCAGAAATGGCAGAATGGTCACTGAAAAAATGCGATAAATTCGCCTCTGTCCTTATTAAGCTTTATATGACGTTCTTAACAAATTTTTCGCCTTTTAGTGAAGGCTAATGCCACACGAGCATCTCGAAATCAGAATCCTGTTCTGACAAGCTGTCTAGCAAATCTAGAAGCAATATATGCCAACTTGTGGTAGGTAACACTGTATAAACGATCCGCTCCAAAAAACACGTCAAGTTTGAAGGATTTCGAGTGAATGTATCATTTCGTATATTATCGTATCTGCTTAGTGTGTGATACTTTCAGATAATTAAGTTTTTATACACAGATAAAATGTTATCGTATCTACGTAGTCTGCGACTCGCTTAACCCTTTTTTTATAGGATAGGGTGACAAACGAGCACAGTCCACCTGACGGTAAATGATCGCAGTGGCCCATAGACATCTACATCTATCCTCTCGTGTGACCACTCGATGATAGCTCGCTGCTGGCATGCTTGCCTCGCGCGAAGCGCGAGCTCGCAACGCGCGATTCACGTGAGTGCGATTCGGCGCTCTCCACCACCCTTTCGAGCCTTTCTTGCAAATGTGTCGGACGCATTGTTGTTTGTTTTTAAAATGAACAAAGAAAAACTTATAGAAGAAGTTCGGAAGTATAGTTTATTGTATGATTTAAGGGTCATTTGTTGATCACGCGAGGTCCACTCGTTGACGACGCGAGGTTCACTCGATGACCACGCGAGATTCACTGGTGACAACGCGGCGTCCACCCGTGGTCCACCTGTCGACTACGATTGGACTCCTGTAACGAGGCGGTGAGGGTCGGGTGCCGAGTGGCTCTAATGAGCTGTGACCTTATGATGGAATGCCTCGTTTCCAGTCCTTTACTGCATGTTTATACAGTTTTAAAATTCAAATGTTGATCAAAAATATAGTATCATGTATTGAGGTGCCGTGCAAATGAAGAATCATTATTCTTTGATATCCAACTTATAATTTGTTTTTTTATTCCGGTGCCAAAGTATCCACCAGTTTCTCCTGTATATTTTTACAGCAGTTCTTACAACATAATTTTAAAAAACCGCCATGTTTAAGTGGGTACTTTAATTTTGTTGCTGTAAAGTTAGACCTAAGAAACCTACCTAAACCTAGTGAAGTTTGGTATAAAAAGGAATGATGAGATGGATTTACGATTTTTGAGCAATCTTATAAACTCATACGATATATCCCCTAGATAGCTAATTTTAGACCATGTTTGAAATTTCCCGCATAGGAACCTGTGTATGTTCTGAATATAATAATGGTCCTAGCTTCAATTTTGTTTCATTTATTGGTGATAATCCCGCGTCAGAGTCCATTATTTATAGCAATTGTTTTTATTATTCCAATTCTTCAATATAGTTCAAAGTGTTTAAAGAATATTTTGTTTGTGTTAATTAACAGCCTTCTGCTCTTATATATAAAAAAAAACTAAGAAAAACTGTAGCGAATAAACGTCGACATCTACAGGAAGTTGAATAAACTGCGATGTCTTGGACTTAGAAATGATACGAATGTTGATAGTGTGATCTAAACCAAATAGATGGCATGAAAATATTCTCCATGAATACTTAATTCAAATTACGCTACGAGCAAAACCTTTTTTTGATTGACATTGCTATTTTTACCAAGATATTGTTGTATAATATATTATTTTTTACGGTAGGCGAATTTTCAAAATTATTAAAAATTATCTTATATATTTATCATCATCATCATAACATCCTGTTAAATTCCACTACTGAATATGATCGTTGTTTATAGATTCCATCATAGATGGAATAATTAAGTAAAAGTTACGACGCTATATGAAAATAAAGTTTAAACGATTCATAAATTAAAAGAAATAATTGAACTGGTACTTTGTTAAAAAAATTAAATGCAAAACAGCTCACAAAATAAAAGGAAACATTTTTAATATAGAAACTCAGAATTAGACATATCGTCCTTGTAACTAACCTTATAAAACTAATAAGAGTAAGAAAAAGTAGAAGTAGAGGATTTTGTCTTAACAAATTTATTATGTATTATTATATTATATTTTTGATTCTGGAAGTGTCTATGGGTGGTAAGTTATAGTGATTCGTTTCCTTAGTATTTCCTCTTGCGAAATAATTTTGGAAAGTATGTAAGAAAATTCCGCTCAATAAAGGATATTTTCAGCACTAAAATGGAATGCATCGTTACCAAAAAAAAAATGTTTGTATAAAGGGTTTTCGATTCTCATCGGTAAAAGTTATAAAAAAAAGCATCTTACTATTTTACGATAATATCCACGGTAAGGGGTGATTTTAGAACTAGTTTAGTTCTACAACATATTATACAAGAATGAAGTTATACAAGACGATGATAACACCCATGAATAAATTGAATTCATGAAGACAAAATCAACTAAGCATTATTAACACACATGTAGTATAGTACAGTATAATATTTTTATGTTTCTCTTTTAAAATGTTATGTAAAGCAGGCATTACAATAATTAATATCTAACAAGCAATTCAAGATAATTGGTGAGATCATAATCAAAATCCTGATACTGTTAATGCGTATCAGAATTTACCAGTTTCTGGAACTTAGGTTTGATAAGAATAAGTTCGCATATTGTCCCTAATGTTTTTTATAGGATAAGGTTCACTAACAAGCACACAGTCTAACTACTGATGTTAAATGGTTACTGTAACCCAAAAAACATCTACATCTATATTCGATTACGAATCCTAATACATTAGTGTTTTCCGCGTGAAGACTAAGACGGAATGCCTCCTTTCGAGTAAGAGAGGTCTCCGGTTTCTACACTCACCATGCAAAACATAGCAGCCTTTAGCTGCTATTTTACGCTGGTATTCTGTGAGAACGTGGTCGTTCCCCGGTCGAACCGAATCATTCGCGTTACAACTATACTACTAATATAATGTCCTCCAGATCAAATTTCGGCCACGGCGGCCTGCCTCAACGGAGGCTAGCCATCGGCGCAGGACAGGATTATAGTGCCCAAGTGTATGCGAAAGCACAGGTGCACTTCTATTCCCTCACTCTCATAATCCGATGGGACGGTAAACCGACACGACCGGAGAGAGATCAGGCGCAGGACCAACGGCTTTATGTGCTTTCCGAGGCACGGGGGTGAGACACCGCCAACTTCCTGACTCCGGGCAACTGAGAATTCCTTGACGGAAAAACTTAATAATTATTTTTTTGGCCCGACCCGGGATTCGAACCCAGGACCTCATGATCAGCAGTCGCACTACTACAACCACTAGACCAACGAGGCAGAGATGCAGTATGACTCTACCACGTAAAGAGCTTTTTCGTAATGTAGTCAACTTATCTGTTCAGGAATCGTACAAATTAATCCCATTGTCTTCTTTCCACAACGAAACCAAACGATTTGATTCACAGTTCGTAATTCATGCGGCAATGAAGTGGAGTAATTGGTACATCCTATTAAAACGTGGATGTATTCAAAAAGTAAATGAAACGATTTTCATTAAACTAAGTAAGTGTACTTGACCATATCTGGTCACTTAGCATGACGTGAGATAGTGGTTACGCTCTGGCTTATAATTAAAAAAAGATTATTGAAGCTAATTGCTTATTGCATGTATTAAATACGTGTGTCTATTACATCATATCAAGTCTTTGGTGTAACGAAAAAATATGAAAACAGTAGTGAGAGCGTGCGGATATAACTAAGGAAAAAGCACTTGTCTTAATTTTTTAACCCAAGTAACACAATTTCAATCTTCTCCAGCAACAATTTGTTGCAATTTTAAGTACTTATTTAATACATGATCTGTACCAAGAAAAACAACTGCATTTGGAAGAAAGTATTCTGACTAGACTAGTCAAATGTCCAAAAGTCCGCCACCCCGGTTGGATTATCGCGGTGAATTCTTCTCTGTTGCTGGCCTCTGTTGTCTCTCTTTCTTTCTTTTTAACACATAAAAAGTACTCATTTTATTTTACCTTCACAGCTTCTTCAACGTCATCGTCTCTGGAAGACTTTGCTAAACTTTTTTTCATTAATTGGTACATAGTTTCACGTCGCAAATAGCCTTCGCTCAGCAAATCATAACACTGAAAGGTTATTTAAGAATAGCAAGAATTTTACATACAATATTAAAGAATTATTTAACTACAAAACCTATAATATGTAAAATTACAATATTAAATAGTAATTTTCCGCAAATCCCGTGTTACAACATCTTAGTGTGGAAAAGTGTCTGAAAACCAGCTACGTCTCGTGTCAGCAAAGATTAGTCACCTGCGAGTGCCTACATTTAATTTAAGCACTAGGTGGTTTATATGTAAATTTGTTTTTTCCAATGGGGTAATAAAGCTAAATTTTATTTTTATGTTTAAATTATGCAATGAATATCATTTCTTGAATCATATCTATCTTTGGGTCTGTGAGATTTGTTTGCAATATTTTTTTTTTTTTAGTTATAATAGTAAGGTAAGTGCATCTAATAAGGGGCGGGTTTTTGGAAATCCTTGTAAAACAATTTTGGGAATTTTATTAATTTGTATAACATCCTGATCCTATAAATTGTTTTTATTTGAAGAGAAAATATTGTACAAAAACATGGCCCATGGCACAACCAAAGGCCAGTTACTTACAAAAAAAGTTCTTTAAAAGCTTGTCTATGTTCCTTATTGGGCACTAGGGCTCTAAATAAGGTACATAATTGAACTGCAAGATTTTAGGCGTTGTACTTATATATTTTATGTCAGTAGTTATAATTATCAGTTTTTGTTTGTTTTTATACAGCATTGTCTTGGTCTTGTACTGTTATGGTACTGTTACTGTTTTGGTAATAAATAAATTTATAAATCTTATGTTAAATATTTTTATTTTATGTTATTAATAATAAAATTTTTGGTAATTAGTTCCCCTACCACATGTTCATTAGTCGCGTTTCTATTAAAAACAAAAAAATTTATAATTTTGAATTACAATTCCATTATATTGCTACTTAAAACACTTTTACCCAAACACTTAAACACTGCTCAATTTTTCTTAAATAACTTTAAGTCAGTGATTGTGACACCAAGAGACTTAAAGTCTTCCTCAAATTGAGTAACGTTTGAGTATTTGTCCATTAGTAAGCAAATAAATACTTTTGAATATTTGAATAATCGTAGTTAGTTACATATTTTAACGATGATGGAGATGCAAATTGGCTCATATCACAATATTGAAAAACGCGAAGAAAAAATTAATTATTTTATAGCTCCTTTTTTCTATAGAAATAGGAATATCTTCTTTTCTATTTAATCATATAAATATTTAATAGAATACTTCATCGTACAGTTCAACTGGCGGCATACAATCTCGTGTATGAAAGACATTATCTATTAAGTTACCACGAATCTTTAGTGGTGAGTAGCGTGAAGTAGAGGCTTTGTTTCTACGTTTCATCTGGTGAGTGCAGGTGCCACACCCCCCACCCATCAACAAGGTAGCGGAATTAAACGCAAGACTACCCCAGGAGGGTACCAGCACCCCTGGAGAATCCCTCGCTGAGCATCCACGACCAAGCTACTCCACTCCTGAGCGTAGGTGAGACTAAACCTGCTCGGAGCAATAAGTCGAAGTTGCCCCCTGGCCTGCTATCTGTGAATTTCTGCAACATCAGGGGTCTTCATTCAAACCTTAACGCCGTTCACTACCATCCGGAAACGGCGAAGCCGGCCTTGCTCTTTCTAACCGAGGCACAGGTGTCCTCTCCGAATGATAGTTTGGCTGATATCTGGGGTACAAATTAGAACACTCATTTGTGCCCCGGGCTGGAATTTGCGTGTACGTCAGAGAGGACATCTGTTTTCAACGCCTCGGCAGTCTTGAAGGTACGGACCTGTCCATCTTACGGCTGCGCGAAGACAGCGACCACCATCCCCGCGTCGACGGGTGCCTCTATAGGTCCCGTAGGGGTAATGCCAAAACAGACCGACTCTTCGACTACGTCCAGATGGCTACAGACTCCGTGCTACAACAGATCCCATCCGCAGAGTTCGCGATGCTTGACGATTTTAACGCACACCACGCTAAATGGCTTGGTTCTCTTTTAACCGATCACGCGGGTAGATCGGATTACGATTTTGTTTTGGCATAATGTCTAACATATCTGGTTACCTCATCTACGCGGATCCAAAATGTGAAAGATTATGTGCCTTCTCTGTTGGACCTTCCGCTGACCTCTCATCGGGATGGATATAATGTATCCGTCGATTCCCCTCTGGGCTCCTCGGACCATTGTCTGATCCGCAATACGGTGCCAATCACGCTCCCATCGCGGCTGCGTACTGCAGGTTACCGCCGAGTTTTGTTTGTTTATAGGTCAGCAAATTGGGATGGGATGCGATCTTTTTTTGCATCCTTCCCTTGGAGGCTTACTTCTCGCCGGATGATCCCAGGTTTGTTGCTGATTCTGTCGCTGTTGTGGTGCTACAGTGAATGGAACTATTTATTCCATCATCAGCCTTGGTTTGGTCGCTCCTGCAAAATTACACTAAGTCATAAGCAAAAGTGCTACCAGGCCTGGGCTCGCGTATCGATGTCTCGGGATGCAAATACCAACGCTCTTAAAAAGAAGTATAAATCTTCCTCCAGGTCCTACAAAAGTCTTATTGTCAAGGCAAGGTCAGAGCACATCGGCAGAATTAGCGAGAAACTAGTTCGTCTTCCTTCGGGAACACGTGCATTCTGGTTTCTTGCCAAGGCCGGCCAAGGAAACTTCTGTCAGTCATCTCTCCCATCTCTGTACAGGAAGGACGACTAACTGGTCCGTGCAACAAAGAACAAAGCCGATCCACTGGGCTCTCTCTTTGCATTCAACTCGACTCTTGATGAAGCGGGGAATACAGCGTCGACCACCCCTCAGTGTGAGTACTCCATTCAGGATGTCCTGTTTACCCAACGATCATTGCGCAAAGCACTCCTCTACCTGGACGTCAACAAGTTGAGTGGTCCTGATGGCGTCTCTCCTATTATGCTGAAGACTTGTATTGAGTTTTAACGCATCTTTTCCAGTACTCCTACTCCCTAGGCGTAGTCCCAAAATCATAGAAGACAGCCTTCGTGCACCCGATCCCTAAAAAGTTAACCGCTCTGATCCGTCCAACTATAAGCCTATCGCCATCTACTCCTTGTACTTTAAAATAATGGAATCCATTATTAACAGCTAGGTCATGTGGTACCTTGAGGATCACCAGCTGATTAGTGACTGCCAGTACGGTTCCCTTCGCGGTCGCCCGGCTGTTGATCTTCTGGGTTACCTAACTTATAAATGGGTGGAGGCAGTAGAGTCCAAGGGGGAGGCGTTGGCCGTTAGTTTGGACATAGCGAAGGCCTTCGAGCGGGTTTGACACAAAGCGCTTCTTACGAAGTTTTCTTTCTATGGGCTTTCCGAGAAATTGCGCAATTGGATGACTAGTTTTGTTTCTGATGGGAGCATCAACGTCGTAGTAGACGGTGCATGCTTCGATTGCAAGCCGATTAATGCTGGTCTTCCACAAGGCTGCGTGCTATCACCAACGCTGTTTCTTCTGCATATCAGTGACATGTTGCAAACTGGTAACTATCATTTCTATGCAGATGACAGCACTATCGATGTTTTATACACTGGCTATGCCAATATTTCTCGGAAAAACGTCGCAGAGTACCGTGACAAAATTATGATGAAGTCGAAACTTTGTTGAACAAAGATTTGGACTGGGAGAAACTAAATCTATATCTAAAAAAACACCCTTCGTCGTATCTCCTTAGTTTCAAGGCACTCCCCTTGTTGCCTCAACCAGTATAGGAATCCTCAGCGTCGACATATCGAGTGACGTGCAGTTTTGTTTTCACTTGGAAGAGAAGGCCAAATTGGCCTCTAAAAAGCTTGGCGTTCTCAGCAGGGCGGGACAGTAATTCATGCCGACTGATTGCCTGCAACTTTACAAGGTGCAGGTTTGGCCGCACATGGAATACTATTACCATCTTTGGGCTGGGGCTCCCCAGTGCCAGCTCCTTCCGTTACTTCGCATCGATCGATACGACTTACGTACCTTCAAGAAAGGAGCCTACGCCTTTTTAAAAGGCCAGCTACGCATCTGCAATTCTCCAGGTGTTGCAGTTGTTCATGGGCGGCGGTAATCACTTACCATTAGGTGAGCCGTATGCTCGTTTGCCGCATCTCCTATAAAAAAAGTGTATAGGATTCACAATACACTGTCGTTGTTTTGGAATTGATATGATTAAGTTCTGACGAAACCTTCATTAATTGGACTTTGATGTAAACCTTTGGACTACAATAAAAATACTTTTTTATATTTTACTCTTACTAAAATTGGACATATGTTAAAGTAGAATAAAAATATTAATGTCCTGCAGACCGAATTTTCGTCGCGGGCGGAAAACTATAATTAGTCATTAGCGCAGAATAAGATTATAGTACACAAGTGTATGAGCAAGCACTGGTGCACTCTCTATTCCCTCAATCTCATGATTGACGATGAGACGGCAATCTAGCACAACTGGAGAGTGTTCACTGAGAGATTATTGATATAAAAACACTGATTTTTGTTAAATGTGAGATTCTAAACCGGGACCCAACGATACGATGCATATACATTCAGTCATAGATAACATAAATAATAAAGTCAACAACTAACTGTAAATGCATAGTTGATACGCTCCTCCAAACTACCACGTAGGTACAGCGACATTGCCTTCGCAAACGTTGTCATTGTGACATACGGCGACGTGCCTCGATCTAAAGCGACCATCACTCGTTCCATCATGTACGAGTCAGTCATTCCCAGACCGGTATGGAGTACGTCTCTGAAGTGAGCTCTGAAATTTTTCAAGCATTTAATGTGCTAATTAATGCGATTGGTTCGTCTCGATCATGTAAGGACCACGCTATGACAGAATACCAGTATGAAATAGCCGATAAATGCTGATGTGTATTGTATAGCAAGTGTAGAGAACTGGAGGCTAGGTGATATTTTGATTACGCGTCGCGGTCTAGGAGTCGGTCTATGACTCGTTTGTCACGCACGTTCTATAAAATTCGTGTCGCTGTCGTCGCGCTACAAGGGAAACACACTGAAGCCTAAATCACGCTATCAACATTCCGAATCATAAACAGCATATAGAGAACATCTCCGAACTATCACACGGAGTGTTGGCCGTTCCCCGAGCAGAACACCTTGCCCGGCGGGCGATCTCCACTTTTCCCTCCACGGCCACAGTGGTCACCACCAAACGTGATCTGAACACGCAACTAACAATCTTCGGAAACTTCAAGCTTCATCATCGTCATAAAATACCCATTCACTCCCGAGCAGATATCGTCTGCAGTCTTCATATCCTGCAAGCCATCTAGCTTCACAAGGTTCATCGCAGCACTGGAATAATAATGCTGCCTGTTCCTTCAAGGTACTCTCTGAGCTATACAGTGTTCGGCACGGCTCTGAGCCTTACTGCTCGCCTCTGCTTCATGGCACTCTCGCAGATTACTTGCCTTTTTCTCGACTCACCGCAGACTACAAGGCAATCTCTTGGCACCTGCACTATCGACCTCTGGTCTGAGCAGGGGGGGTGTGGCGGCGCTGTCGTCGCGCCACCAAGCGAAACACACTGAAATCTAAATCACGCTATCAACATTCCTAATCATAAACAGCATATATAGAACATCTCCGAACTATCACACGGAGTGTTGGCCGCTCTCCGGGCAAAACACCTTGCCCGACGGGAGATCTCCCCTTTTCCTTCACGGCCACATAATAAAAATACTATAAAATAACATTTACATTATAAAGAAAATCTTACAAACGACATAAAGTACACGTCTTATTTTAAACTTAAGTTCAAATATACAATAAATAATGATAAACCATTATTGCAGTTTTCAAAATAAGGTAAATAAGGTAGGTAAATAAAGTAGGAACTTTAATTTGAAATTATCCCAAACTGAATGTGTGCCCACTGATCAACCTTTACGAGTGTGTGCGTGTGCAGTAAAATTATTATTACATAATTCATTACCACGAGTTTTTTGAATTTAAAAGATAAAAAACAGAATGTTTGAGATTTTTAAATATATATAAATTTATCTGCTTAGTCTTATAGTTGACTGGTAGAGAAAGCATTGAGGCATTAAGTCCGCCCTTTGTAATCCTTTATAAGGTGTTACAATAAGAGCTCCCGCTCACTAGTGTTTTTTGTCACCGTGATTGTTTCTTCACTCATATCAAGTACGTCGATATGTATGAAGATGCGCGCATGTTACGACGTGACAACCGGGTGACATTTTTGTACGCCGACTTACACTTTACAATTTTATTTCTACCTATCTATATTACATACAATTATCATATTACTTAGTAACTCTGAGGCCCACTATCGGACTTGTAGGCAGTTAGGTACAAACAAATGCATATTTTATTTAGCTTTTTTTGTCTTCTTAGTCTGATGAGTTCACAGACAACGACCGTCTCTTCGAAGTCCATGTCAGCAAATGACACTTCGATTTCAAAATAATTTTGTCACTGTCACCCTTAGAGAGCGCACTCCGCTTTGGAAACGTGACGTGACAATGACAAAAACTTTAATGTCACGGTGACAAAAATCACCAGTGCGCACTAGCTCTAAAGTGTCTATAAATAGCCACTATTGACTGTGACATAATATCTTCTTCTTAAATATATTTAACTTGACATTGCATTTATCATTTAAAGAATAAAATTTAAATATTGATAATTGTCACTTTAGTCACTTCATGGTTTCACTTCATTCACTTCTCTTTAGCTTTTTGGAATTCGGAGAATCAATCACATTACATATTTATTGTAAAGAACAGTTCTAACAGTGATGGCAAAACTCACAAAGAAACATTCCAAATTATTTAATTATCGCCATTATTGCTTTATGGGATGACATTTACCTTCATGCGGAAACTTTTTTATCTGTCAATAATTTTATTATATAAACATTGCGTTAAAAATGTTGTTAATATTATAAACTAAAACTTTTTTGATTAACTTCACCTACAGAGCCCCAACCAATACCTCTTCTTTTAATTTAAAATGTTTCATAGAGGAACATGAGGCCGTTACTCCATTTACTCCATCTAGTGGTGGACGGCCTACACTTCGCCTGCCGGTACAAGGCTGCCACTCAAGAACCTTTTTTCCCCATCGGTTATCGGTTCTTCGATCTATGTAAACACCCCACTGCCACTTCAGTTTACTAATCCGTTGGGCTGTGTTGGTTACTTTGGTTCTACTGCGGATATGCTTATTACCGGCGTTATAGTTCAAAGCAATGACAACCGATGGGACATAGCAAAGTGCGACAAAACATCTAGGGGTTCATCACGACTTACGACCATCCAGATAGAATCAGACATCAGAGAATTACTAAATGTAAGCCCCAGTGTCATTATAGCCTGTAATGCATTGTTTGAGCTCATGGACCGACTAAAATTCGATATAATTGCGCCCGAGACTCTAACCCATTACCCATTTACACCAGATATCGACCGGACGATCTTGAAGAACTACAGATTGATATCCCTTCAGATCCGCGTCTACGTGCTGTTTTCGAGGGTCATTACGAACCGTCTCGCACGCAAACTCGAATGAATGATGAAATGAATCCCAGCCTCTCGAAGAAGCCGGTTTCCGAAAAGGCTTTAGTACCATAGACCACATATATACCCTTCGGAAAATTGTACAGAAGTCCGAAGAGTGCAATCTGCCACTTTGCTTGGCGTATATGGACTATGAGAAAGCCTTTGATTCCATCACAATTTGGGCGATGCTACAGTCTCTACAGCGGTGCCAAGTTGACTGTCGGTTTATCGAAGTGCTGAAGGGTTTGTACAGTAGGGCTACGATGGCTATCCGAGTACAGAACCAGAGTACGAAACCCATCCAACTGCAGAGAGATGTAAGACAGGGTGACGTTATTTCCCCGAACCTCTTCACCGCTGCATTGGAAGACGTTTTCAAGCTACTGGACTGGAAAGGATACGGTATTAGCATCAATGGCGAGTACATCACTCACCTTCGATTTGCTGACAATATAGTCCCTATGGCAGAATCGCTGGAAGACTTAAGCACTATGCTCAATGACCTCAAAAGTGCCTCCCAACGGATAGGTCATAATATGAACATGGACAAAACAAAGATCATGTTTAATGTCCACGTCACACCTATGCCCGTAGTTGTTGGGAGCACTAAGCTCGAAGTTGTCGACGAGTACGTTTACCTGGGACAAATAGTTCGATTAGGTAAGTCCGACTTCGACCGAGAGGTCAATCGACGGATTCAACTCGGCTGGGCAGCTTTCGGGAAATTACGACACATCTTCACGTCAGGTATACTTCAAAACTTGAAAACTAAGTTGTACAACCGGTGCGTGTTGCCAGTGATGACCTATGGAACCGAGACATGTTCCTTCACTGCTGGCCGTATGAGGACGCTCAAAATCACTCAGCGAGCCATGGAGAAGGCTATGCTTAGGGTTTCTCTGCATGATAAACTTAGAAATGAGGATATCCGCAATAGAACCAGAGTGACCGACGTAGCCCAACGGATTAGTAAGCTGAAGTGGCAATGGGCCGGCCATATAGCTCGAAGAACCGAAAACCGTAGGGGAAAAAAGGTTCTCGAGTTGCAACCTCGTACCAGTAGGCGAAGTGTAGGACGACCGCCCCACTATATGGACTGACGACCTAGTAAGACATGCAGTAAGTTGATGGATGCGGGTGGCTCAAGACCGTGCTTTGTGGCATACCTTGGGGGAGGCCTATGTTCAGCAGTGCACTTGTGAAGGGCTGTAATGATAATGATCGACCGGACATAGCGTTACTTAAAGATGTCCGTTTGTCGTTAACATCCATCAACATAATCCTAGACTTTAACTCGGACCACAGATCAGTCCTTTTACATCTGGGTCAGCCCGCAGGTGAGCTCCTACAGACCATAACCATCGTGAACTGGCGTAAGCTTGAGGACAAACTTGAGTCTACGACCTGCCGTCACTTAGACAAGATTCCCGACAGTATAGATTCACAAGAGGAAGCCAATAAGGCGATTAACGATTATCGGCCCAACTTGCCTCAGCGGTTGAAGAATGCTCTTGAAAGATTTGCGTATCAAGCAATCGACACCTGAAACTTGCGAGTTATATTCGACAGCTGATCAGAGTGAGGAACGCTGCACTTTGACAATATTATCACTACCGCACGGTAGATAATAATGAATTTAGTCTGCGCATCCTCCAAACGCAATGAGACGGGCAGGCTCCTAGGATTTCGTGTTAGAGACAAGTGTTTCGCTCTCACTCTATCCTAGAGATGATATAGATTCTCGTAAGCACAAGCACTTCATACTGTATAATCAATAGTTTTACTACATATTCTCATAATTTAAAAAAAATATTGTACCTAGATATTAAATCCGATGCAGCCGGTTTATCGTCCCTCTTCTGTATTTTGAAAAAAATTACCATAATCTCTGCAAAACAAATTTATTTAGAAATGAAATTAATTATTTAAATGATTTATATTTGAGCAAACCTAAATGTGGCCACGCTTTAGCAAAAATAGCTCTATTAGGGAAGAGCCTAGCTGATTTTGAATATCAGCGTAAAATGCCTGCATAATATTGCACCTATATAACATACTCGTATTATGATGAGTGTAAAGAACCGGAGACCATTTTAATGTTATTGGAGTATTTCATCTAAGATCTCAGAGATGACAACTTGTCTGAATTTAGATTCTTAATCG